TTTTTTCACATATTCCACAAAATAATGAAACTTGATAGCACTATTACATAAAATATCGGGGTTGGGAGTAAGTCCTTTTTTTAATTCTTGGAGAAAGTTAGTAAACACTTCGTTTCAATATTCACGAATAAAATTTACTCTGTAAAGAGGAATATTTAATTGTTGGGCTACTTTTTGTGCGTCATTTCAATCCTGAACTTGTGAACAAATATCTACGGTTTGACCACCTAAATAATCATCTCAATTTTGCATAAAAACTGCTCCTACTTGGTATCCTTCCTTTTGTAAAAGATAAGCCGCCACAGCCGAATCTACCCCCCCACTTAAAGCAATAACAACAGATTTTTTTTGGGAGAGGGGGAAAGGGGGCATAAGATTAGTACAATATAAAATATAAAAAATTAAAAAAAATCTGATTGCCACTGGCTCGCCAGTTAAGTATTAAGGGAAAAGTGGCGGTAATTCGTCGCGGTGATAGTTTTTATTTGGGAGATATTCAAAAATTAGAGCGCAATTTTGATAATAAAATTGTGGTGCTGGAAGTGGCTTATTTATAAATATAAGCAAGAATCTAAAAAATTACTGCCAGAAAAAAAGCGATCCCTCTTACGAAAGTATATTGCCGCGGGAACTATTCGCGGAAAAATCAGACCAGAATATTTACCAAAAAAAAGCAATAAAAGGTTATCATCATAAAACTAACTTTTAACTAATTTTATACAAAACAGACAATTTAACTGTTAATATATAAAATTCCCTTTTCTTTTCTTTACTTACTTAAAATAAAACATATAGGATAAAAGTTCTATATAAATATCTCTTTCTTTTTCTACTTACCAAACGCACAAGTCGTAAGAGAGAGAGAGAGACGATTAAAAATTTAATATTTCTCTTTATCTACTGATATTATGCGTTGCGATAAATGCCCAAATTTAATCTACGGAGATTATTATTTCACAAAAAAAAAAAAAAAAAAAAAACATTACTAGCACTGAGTGCTTAGGTATATTTAAAATAATATGACAACATGCATAAGATGCGACCGTCCTGGTATATATAGAGAATATAAAGATCACTTAGGCAGGAAAACTACTGCCGTTCATTGTGATGTTCATGCTCAAGAAGTTTACAATTATTTTCGAAGAGAAGCTTCGGAAGCAAGAGAAGAAACTGAAAGAAGAAAAGAAGAAGCCCAGAAAAAAGCCCAAGAACGAGCTAAACAGGAACGAAAAAGACAAGAAAGAGAAAAAAATAAAACTTGTTGTCGAGTTTGTGGTAATGCCTCCTGATTTAATCATTTAGTTGTTAATACCAATACTAAGAAAGTAGAAAACAAAAACACTTCTTATACAGTTAATCCTGATTATAAAATAATTGTTTGTAACAATGATTGTCTGAAAAAATGAGTTGATAAAACATTTTCTTTTGCTTGCCCGCAATGTTTAAAAACCGGAACTGACAGTGTTACTAAACATGAAAAAAGGTTTTGTTCTCAAAAATGTAGCAATGATTACTATGCTAAATATGATTTCGTTTGTGCTGAATGTCAAATTAATCAAGAACATGACGAAATTTGAACCTTGTCTGGTTCCAAAAACCAAGGTAAGAAGTTTTGTTCTAAATATTGTACCGAACAACACCAACTACCAAAATGTGATGATTGTGGAGAAAAATGTTTTACTACTTCTTATTACAAAGATGCCGCCAATAAAACCGGAACTTTATGTGTGGGATGTCATACAACTCATAAAAGTAAAAAAAGTAATCTTTCTGACCCTAGTACTCCTATTTTTGAACCGAAACCCAAAAAACCAACCTCTTCCCCACAACAAACTCCGCAAGTAACAAGCGAGGGGGGAAACTCCAATCAGCCTACTAGCGATCCAAAAAGTGATTCTCCTTCTTCTCCCTCCTCGCCAACTGATAATTTGAGACCTAATTCTTCCAATTCTAGCAACAATTTTTTTACTCCTGCTCCATCCAGCGAAGGTTCCGACTTTTATAGATGCAGTATTTGTGATAAAGATTTTTCCGCCGATAATGACCACAACAAAAATAGTTCTTGTGCTCAAAAAGCTCAAGAAGCTGAAAAAATATTTAAAAAAATTGAAGCCGGACAAAAAATTTCTTCTTCGGAAGTGAACAATTTAGATTTACCAACCGATAAAAAAATTTTTCTCCAAACCGTGCAAAAAATCTCTCAAGGAGAAAAAGTAAATATTGATAATTTGAATTTATCAGACGAGGCTAAGGAAGAATTGAGAAGAATTCGAGATAATTATCAGAATAAATATAGTGAAACATTAGTAGATGAGTCTGAGTCTCCAACAGCACCTTTTTATATTGGTTTGTTTGTGATTTTTGTAGTTATCCTAGCGGTAATAATAATTAGAAAGCGAAAGAAAAGACAGAAAAAAAAGTAGTTTTTATTGATTAATAATATTGCTAATTCTGTCAACATAAGATTTAATATTATCGCCTCGATTAATAGCTCCGATTAAATCAGAAACAGCATCGTTTAACTTATTTATCATATTAACCTTTTCATTATATTCGTCAACTGAAACTCCACCACCCGAACTACTGGAACTACTACTTCCTAAATTATTAATACGACTTTCTAAAGTTGATATCCGACTAACTAATTCACTCATATTGCTACTGCTACTGCCACCAATTCGTTCAATATTACTTTGTAAAACACGCAAATTGCTATTAAAACTTTCTCGCATGGTATCCGTGTTATTTTCAATCTCATTAATTTTATTCTGAATTTGTTGGAATTGATTTTTAACATCATTAACTTCTAACATTAAATCTTTAATACTATGAATGCCTTTGTCAATATCGGTTCACAAATTATTAGCAACCTCCATTATTTTACATTGCTCCCCAATGCGTCGATAAATACCCCAAATAGCTTCGCGGGTGGCAAAAGCTTCTCCGAAGTCATAAGGTTGGATTTGGTCAGCGCTATTAAAGGATTTCAAGTCTTGACGATTATTATAGTCGTGAAAGGTATGTAAAAAATGGAGCAGTCAATTACATATTTTTTCGTCAACTTCTTCCGCTTTCTAATTATTATTACCGCTAGGATAACTACAAAAATCACAAACAAACCAA